GCATATTTTTTGTATTCCAGAATTAAAAGTATGAAAAAAGTGTCCAATTAGTTATAAATAACCTATTAGCATGCTAGATAATGACAATGGCACCTATTTCAGCATTCGTTGGAAAAAGGGCAAATCTAGAGTGCTAGCATAAGGCCGCTTAACTGCCTAAAAACAGCTATGATACAAGTTAATCATTATCTAAACTCTAAACTTATCATTTGCTCATTAGAAGTTTCAGAGCCAAACAAATTGGAACAGTGCAGTCACTGCAGCAGACATGTACATTTCTGTCAATACAAAAATAAAAGTTCAGTTGTTTTTCATGCTTTTAATACCTTATTTAATGAATGATTTATTTTCAAAAAGAACATCAAACATGGATAAAATGTAAATGATGTAAATATGTTTTTATAATACCAAGAGTTGGAATACGTTGCATTCACCTTGTCGGCCTGTGGGTTTGTCCATTCGTGCAAAACACATTTCCGTCGCAGTTTTTTTATGTATGTTCAGAAAGAGATGCCCTGAACACACTGATGGGTACCTTGAACAGACTCGACACCCCCTGCAGACCAACTCTGTGTTGCGCCACCAATAAAGTCTACCTTTAATATTTGTACAGCCTTTTTTGTCTCGCCTGCAAAGAAAGTCCCAGTATGCGAGACATAGGTATTACTATTCGGCGGCGGCGTAAACTATTTGTATAAAGCTTAATATTTCAGAAGGTAGAAGATCTGGATGCTTCATGCCTTGTATGCATATACCTTATGTTACGAAGTTTCCATTTGTCATATGTCCATTGTCCTTGACCTGATTTTCATGTTTCAGCAACTGCCTGAAAACAAATTTCAGTTTTTTTTATATGTGTATTTCTCACTTATTATGAGTAATAGGATAACTATATTTGGTATATGGGTTCCTTGCAACACCTACATGTCAGTAAGACCGGGTTCACCTGACCTCGACCATATTTCATGAATCAGTGATCAAGGTTAAAGTTACATGATTAGGTTCGTTTCTCAGATACTATAATCAGGAGGTCAATTATATGTGGTGAATGGAATGATTGCAAGGTGTACACGTCACTCTGGCAGGTTTCATCGGACCTTCACTTCGTTTTCATGGTTCATTGGTCAATGTTAAGTTTTTGAATTTAGGTATGTTTTTCAAGTACTATAAGAGTAGGTCAACTATATTTGGTGTATGGAATGAATGTAAGTTGCACATGTCGGTCTAGCCGGTATCATCTGACCTTGACCTCATTTTCATGGTTCATTGGTCAATGTTAAGTTTTTTTGTGTTTTGGTCGGTTTTCCAAATTCTAATACAATGTAGCAATAAGTCAGCTATGTTTGGTGTAATGGAACAATTTTAAGGTGTACATGTCTGTCTGGCAGGTATTATCTGACCTTGACCCCATTTTCATGGTTCATTGGTCAATGATAAGTTTTCGTAATTTTGTCAGTTTATCAGATAATATAAGTATAAGCAAAAGGTCAACTATATTTGATGTATGGAATGATTGCAAGGTGTACATGTCTGTCTGGCCTGATTCATCTGACAAAGACCTCATTTTCATAGAACATTGATAATGTTAAGGTTCATGTGGGTCCTTTGGCTAAAATGGCTGCGTTTTCACCTCAAAATTTACTCGGAGTACAGACAAACCTGTGCATCTGGAAAAGTTTTAAGGCTTAGCATGCCCTAGATAAATAAAATTCAAATGCATTGTATGTTTTAGAAATTTTAAAACTTAACTGGATTTTGCAGTGTACTTTGCTATACGCATGCTTATTTTATTCAGTAGATACGGTATTCTTTTTCAAAATCCTAATCCCCCAAATCACATGGGAATCCCCTTTCCTTTCAACTTTATACCTGTACTACCTCTGTACCTTTGTCTTTGAGTCAATTCCTCTTGCCCCCTGGTTTTGTTGCTCTCAAAGCACATATGACATACAGTATATTAAGTTTAGCTTCTACCATGTCTACAGACAGACCCCTTATCTGGGAAATGTCCTACTATAGTGAGAATTTATCCAAATAATCGATAGGGATTTTTGTTTGGGGGGGGGGGGGGGTCAAACTTTTGAATTTATGTTTTCAAGCCGGGTAATTATGTGGTTCATAAAATTGGGTGGGAGGGGGAGGGTGCCAACAAAACTTTTTAATGTGAAAAATTTGAACCGACCCCCTCAGTTGATAAATAATGACCGTTCCTTAAGTTTAGCTTCTACAGACCCCTCATCTGGGAAATGTCCTACTATAGTGAGAATTTCTCCTCGCGTTAGGTTCCAGTTCTCATTATTTAAATCCAACTTAAAACATATGAAAAAGCATTCAAAGACCTGGCCGTCACTAGGTTATTCCACTGGTCTACTAAGACCCAATTTCACCGACGGCTAGAAATATTTGCATATATGATAATTCTTACCTTTTCTTTGATGCAAAATATCAAAAAGAAATGATAAAATGTCCAGCTGAGATACGATGACCCAATTTAGGGAGAACATAAATAGAGAACTCAATCAAATTTCACGGAGCTGAATTTTTGGATTATATAAATTGAACGTTCAGGAAAATTTGTCAGGTTTCCCACACAAAACAGTTTGTGTCATAGCCATAGGTGTAAAGTTAAGAATTTTGCAACAAAAATTTCCCGCAACAGTTTTAGCGTTAATCAGTTTTAGTTGTTGGTTGAAATGTGATGGGATATGCTGTACATCTACTTCAGTTCTGACGAGACTAACTTAAGGTGGCTCGGGTGTCTTCCTCCATCTTGGATTTTGAAGTAGCAGATAACGTTGGTCTAGATATTTGATGAAATGTGCAAATTTTGAGAATAGTATGTAATTTATGTAAAAGACTTTTGATGTAAATATGGAAAATTGTGTGTTTTATCATAATTACGGCTGTACTTTCTCAAAAACACCTTATGTGTGTTTGATAAGATTTTTTTCATCTTTGCCGAATAAGGGGAGATAACTCAGATAAAGTAATTTTTATAATAGAAAGTGTTGTGAATTTACCTATTTTGATATGTAGCAAGGAAACAAGTTCGGTGACCCCATTTTTTTCTTTTTCTTATCTGAAAGCATGCTATAAGATCCATCTTTTCACATTATATCTTAAAGTTCTCTCAAGTAGTATCTTTTTATCACACAAAATTTGATTTTCCATGCATAATCTATAGAAAATCTGACAATTTTGCACAACCTGTAGCGTAAAAAAAAGTCCGGTGACCCATACTTTTTATTATATTTTAAAAAAAAGCATGATAAAAACTTCATTTTGACAAATTATCAAAAAATCCTATCAATTTTAATTAAGACGCCCCAGCCACCTTGATGTGTACAAACCTGACGCCAAATGTTGATACTGTAGAAGGAGAATAAATTAGATCACACTAAAACAATCCAGAACAAATTAACTCATAAAATTGCAGAGGTCAATAGAAAGATTTCCCGCGCAAATGCCATATGTCAAACGGGATAAACCAAAACGATTTTTAGGGGTGTGTTGTCGTTCACATTCGGATCAGTTTACACAGTAAAATAAATATAAATGTCAACTATATATATAATGGTTTTGAATTTAGTTACTTTATCAGAAAATTGATTTATTTCGCGCAAACAACGCTAAATAATATACATTAACTCCACTCTGAATCTAAAAAACCCTAAAATAAAATGGTATATGGAATCGTCCGAAACAGGTTTTCCTAACATTGATAAAGGTGAAATACGTAGATTCAGAATTGTGCACAAAGAAATAAGATCAGAGATAAAGCCCTATGTGAAGTGAAAACCAAAAAACACCTGAATTGAATCATCGTTTATTAAATTTGCTTGCATAAGAATCATGAAGTTGAAACTATGGACGATTATGTGTATCCTGTCAACCCCTAACAAAATAATACTGTCTACTTCCGCGCGCCGTGAACTGAATTTTTTATATATTGTTATATAGTATGTTAATGAGCAAGCTTGAGTGGGGGCATTTGTGTCCTCAGACACATTCTTCTTTTATTTAATAGAAATTTTGTCCAAACATAAATTTGCATCCCGCTTAACATATATAGCTGTATCAAATGATTCCTAATCAAAGGTATTCTGAATAACTATAAAAACCAATAATGATGAATTAATTCAGACTGGACAATTTGACATCAACACAGGTACGTTGATATAGTATGTATCTTCAGCTATGCGTTTATCACCCTTCCCGTCATACGATTACAGAGTCACATCAAAAAGTAAAAAATGTTTACTACGTCATTTGATCTTTGGTGGATAGTTGTCTCATGTGCATTTATACTGCATCTCAATATTTTATATCTAATGTTCCAGTGACAAACTCGATGATATTGCCAGACTGATAGAGTGCCCATGTGCCGAATAACTAAATTATGATGGCAGAAAAAGAACGTATGAGGAGACAATATGAGTGTCTTTTCCTCTTGACCTTGTTGGTGTAATTTTTTCTATTTAGAGTATAACACTTCAGTTAGTAAAATCGATACATTGAGAACAAGCTCTAGCATAATGCAACAACAGAGATTCGCAAAGCAGATTCCCATACTCAAGAATGGAAAGTTGACAATGGTTAACTACAATCATCACGATTGTCATGTATCCTAGTTTCAGTTGTTTACCAGTACCAATATCAAAGATAAAATGGCTAGGGTGTCAAGCAGAAGATAAAATGATCTGGGTGTTAAGCAGAAGATAAAATGGTCTGGGTTTTAAGCAGACCTTATATCTACCCTTAATTTCAATTTTCCATGGATACACAAGTATAGGATATATTTGTCCGCACTGAAATATCCACGTTAAATTGACGTGTCGTCGGTGAGTATTAAACTACATTACATTCATTTCACAAGTAGGCTAACAGAAGATTTTATTTAAAAGTTTCGCGTTACATTATCGTCAGTACTCTTATCCCAAAAATACACCGGTATCATAAAGACATGTATGCAATTTTAACAACATTGATTAAATCATATGAAGTAATACATGTAACGTCGATTGATAGAGCGATTTCAATAAAAACAAGTATAACACAAATATGCTCTTTACTGGATAAGAAATTAACAGGCAAGTTTCCAGTTCACAGTCTTAACCTTGATTATTGTATTCATGTCATGTGGTCGATCAGAGGATGAACAGATCTCGTGCTGCTTTTGATGACCTTCAGTCGTAGAATGAACATACTGGATGTGGAACACCGGCTAAAACGAAATAAATTCAATTTACGAAAGACTTATAAATGCTACTTTTGATAACAAAGCAATAAATTGAAACAAAATTCCCCTAAATCCGAATAAATGTGGTGTCTTTTATGAAATAGTGTGTTACTTGGTTGTTGACTCCTTTAATGATAATAACACTATGTGAATTTCATGCGTCCGAAGCACTTTTGGTTATTTACATACATCAGGAATGCTCAAACCTAAACATTTGGAAGCGAGGGATGTGTGAAAGCAATTTACATCTTATTTTCATTTTTTCAGAAACAAGCTTTCAATAGCGGTCTTCTTGGTTATTGCTATGTAATTTGATTCATTGTTGAGAGAAGATTGTTTCAATTGTGGTCCAATGATTTGTTGTTTTTAATATTTTCTGATTACATCTGTGAATGTTGCACAAATGTAAACGGAATCGTCCGTAAGCCATTTCGCAAACGTCTTCAAGACATCAACGCAGTATCACATAGTTGGAAAACAGAAAATACAGTACAAGTTCTATTATTATAAAAGATTATTTCAGACCAGTTTGATTCCAACTGGCATGGTCGGTTCGAAGTGATTCAAAATGGACGACTGTCGACAAACATTAGCTATAAGTTATATTTTATGAACTCTGTCGGTGGAAAGTATACAACTAATTTGGTTTGAAACAGGAAACCAAGTAGCTGTTCCAAAGAAATATGTTAACTTGTGAACTTGAAATTAAGGATACTACTGATACTAGAAGGACTGCTTCATACCTGTATCTTTTCCTCAATATTGACACAGATGGACGACTTCACACTAAAATCTATGACAAACGGGACGATTTCAACTTCCCATTTCTCAGCAGTAACATACCCTCTGCCCCTTCGTATGGTGTTTACATATCTCAGTTGATACGTTATGCTCGTGCATGTTCACACTATACGGACTTCATATACAGGAGTGTGCTCCTTACGCAGAAACTGCTCCAACAAAGTTATGAGGAGGAAAGATTAAAAATGACACTCCGTAAATTTTATGGACACCATCACGAATTGGTTGATCCATACGATGTGTCTTTGTCCAAACTAACTAAGGACATTTTTACCACGTCTTAGATTGTGGTTTGCCATTACGTCTGATCTTTTAAGTACCGGACGTGACCTATTCCCGATTGTGACTGTTTCGCTGAGTGTGAATTCGCATTGCTATATGACGTGTCACGGTATTTTGCTATCCAACATTCTTGTATTTAGTTTTGATGTTATATTTGTTATTGTCAAATGTCTTATCGTTTGTAGTTGTAACTCTTACTTTTTTCTGTTCTATTTGTGTGTAAGTGTAAAGATAATTTATCACCCAGTTCATTTATAAGATTTTAGTTTGGGTCAACTAAACTTACACTATGTATTTGGTTTTCAGTTTGATTTAGAAGAAATACCGACATAGCTAGATAATACAATTAATTATCTAATTACTGACACAATTTTATATTTATAAGTATTGTAATTTTAATTGTTATTAAATACATGTAATATCAGTATTACAAACCTAATATTGAACTCTATCCTATTCTTTGAAATTTTTAGAAATTTACCTGTGACGTCACTTTTGTGTGTCGATCTTTTCGGCTGACATACAATGCGTTGTTCGGCTGTGCTGTTTTATGTGCTGATCTAGGTTGTTTTACGTATTCGTTTTTATTCTGTAGTTAGTTACCACTTCGGTGTTCACATGTATATTAATTATATGGTCATTTTTAAATTTTATAAATATACTGTTTGCAAAAATGTGAATTATTCTAAATACTAAATATTTTCTTATCCCAGGCAGATAACCTAGCTGTATTTGGCACAACGTTTTGGAATTTTGGGTCATCAATGCTCTTCATCTTTAGGCCTGGCACCTTTGATAATTATTAGCTTGTCGTAATGTTCTATTGTATTGTTTATTTGTGTGTTTCTCTGTCCTGTATGTTTTTCCATTTATTTGTATTATAGTCCTGTCATGTAATGTTGTCATTTTAGTGTTATGTTTAACATTGCCATTAAAGCGGGAGGTTTGGCTAGCCACAAAACCAGGTTCAACCCACCATTTTTTCTTAAAATGTCCTGTACCAAGTCAGGAAAATGGCTATTGTTATCTTATAGTTCGTTTCTGTGTGTGTTGCATTTTAGTGTTTCTGTTGTGTCTTTGTTCTCCTCTTATATTGATGTGTTTCCCTCAGTTTTAGTTTGTAACCCTGATTTGTTTTTTCTCATTCGATTTATGAATTTCAAACAGCGGTATACTACTGTTGCCTTTAATTAAAACCTATAGTTGAGTTGCTTGCATCCACGTCCGTTGGTTATCTCATAGGCATTCATACCACATATCCTTTTTTTTATTAATAAATCAACATTTTGTGTTCAGGCTGTACAAAACGTTATTTCTTAAATTGCTTGGAATTGTTTTAGTACAGCTGAGATGCAGTTGAGTGTAAATAGGGAGTTCTTTATGTACGACGTCATTTATAACTGCATCAAATTATTATGAAAAATTGTTGATACTATTTTTAGTTTAATTTTATGTACCCTAACAAGAACCGTTATACATATGAATCACTTTTCATCATACCTTCCGTGCATCAAAAAAAGGTTTGTACCGGCCACACTCGTGATAATTCATACAGGATTCGTTTATGGCGAAGTCAAAGTCGCCTACCAGGTCACTGAGTTGGCTTACATCGTTCTTTAGTCCTATAGCTAAACCATGTCCATGCGCCTCTGTAAAGTTGTTTTCAAGAATTTAAGTAGTAAATAGTCAATTAGACAAAAACAATGAGTGTGAAATTTTAAGGATCTGTTTTGACAGATACTGGAGGATTACACAAATAGGTACTAACTTTTCAATATATGTGTCACAGATGACCACGGATATGTTTCAATTGTCGTAGCCTCGATCCTGAACTCGTTTCCTTGATTGCGACACCGCCAAATAAGATTTAACACCGATTTTGAACCATGAGCAAAATTACAGATACCACGTGTCGAGCAGAACCTGCTTACTCTTCCGGAGCACCTAAGATCACCCCCTGTTTTTGATTGTGTTCAAGTTGCTTAGTCTTTAGTTTCCTAAAAGTTGTTTTGTGGACTTTTCTCCTTTTAAAGCTATTTTGCCATGGCGTTGCCGGTTTCTCTTCGGCAGATAATACCCCTCCTGTTGTATCTATGCGGCCCCTTTATCACTGCCCATCCGATATCGCTTTCCTATATAAGTCGATTTGCAACCAGGTCAGAAAAAATAAGAAAATTTTAACACAATTTCCTACTTTTAAGTTTCACTGCCATTATTTGAAAGATAAACTATTACAAACCGATCTAGTCGCAAAAAGACATTAGATTCACCTAACAGTGGGAATCAGGTTGAGTTCAGGTGACTATCGGACGACAGACGTGCACATCTTATTACCAAAAGAATGCCAATTACTAAAATATTACTGAAAACTGATATCCCTTAAATTCAAGCGTAGCATTGGAAAACCTTTATGTCTATTGTAGCTTGAAATGGCAAAGTTCCCAAGACTTGGGTAACAAGAGAGGAAAAACTCATTCAATTCCATTATAACAAGAGCATAACTTCAAAAATATATAGCACTGATTTATTCAAATAGAAAATTATGGCTTGATCTGATCACTTGCACCTTTAAAACTTTCGAAATTTTACTTAAAGAAAAAAGAGTATCATAGAATATAGTTAGTAGATATACTCTTCAGATTGAAATACTCTATGTTTACTAGATATCCGACAAAAGATTTTGAAACCAACACTTTATAGTTTCATTGTATGAATCTATGTGGCATCATGTATGTGCAAGGAGTCGTTAAGTGAAATACATGTATAAGTATGTTATGCTGTAAATTACTAACAATAATAACAAGCTTGACAAGGATGAAAAGGGTAGGTGGTCGCCGGAAGAAGGATTTCTGAAATATACTTCTTCATATTTATTACCTCTCGCTAAATATCTATTATAATCCAGTTGATCAGCTGGTGTTAAATGGAGTCCTGCTTGATTTTGTGCCCATCCATCAACATTATCCGGATCAACACCATCACAATGTCGGGATGCTGCATATGAAATCCGATCTCTCATTATTCGTCGAACACTTCAAACAAACGAAAAGTACTGTTACATTATACTGTTTTAATGTTGTTCGATTGATTGATTGATCGAGGGAGTGATGTCTGCTTAAATACCAGCGGCAAATAGAAACTGTAAATTAAGATTTTAATTAGAATTGAATATACCCTGTATTGTACACGTTGAGTCGAATATTCGACAACCTCACTCACATGGTAACTGTCCGTTGGAAGATACGCAGAGACCATAGTCCGACTCCGAGCAGACCAGTCTTTGCTTTCCCCCTAACTATCGCGTGCTTAGCGGAAAAGGCAGCAAATGTGAATTTTAAAAGTCTTTGGTTTAAAGCAAGAAAATGTGCATACCAGTAATACCTTACAAAATTCAAACATATACATACTGACTATTTCTGATATCAACCCACGTCTCGCCTGGCCAGTCCTTATTAGGGTCTCCAAGTCCATCGCGTGGAAATTTGCTGGCATCAGCTCGCCAATCTTCTTTCGTTCCAGCAGAAAAATAGCATACAACCTTCTTTCCTTTCCTGAGTTTAGATAAAAAAATATACACAAGTTTTAAGAAAAAAAGTGAAAAAAAGAGTAAACGTATAAGGTAACATCTGTTGGAAGTAGTTGGAGCCTTAATAACAACTTTCACTTTGGTATCCTCTTCCCCTTCTACACAACCGAGAATTTATGTTGAAATGAATCATGAGAGCGCAACTATCGACAAAATTACAGTAAATTAAAAAAACAAATGTTTAATATGATTAATTAATAAATTGCGGTACCAAAGTTACAATTACATGTATTAGGAAGGGAATCTTTTGCAACAAGTATTTTTTCGTTTCTTGAGTAATAAATAAATGCCATTATTTTTCAGCTGCGTATTAACTTCAAGTTTCTAAATATTTTTGGAGGAGAAAAAACATTTGAAAATACCACCTACCAAGAAACAAAACAAAAACAAAAAGCAAAATAGAAAAAAAACAAGCTAATTCATCAAGTTTTTTTATTCTATAAGCGATGATATTACAAACCTGTGGAGATCATCGATGATACTTTTAGGTACATCAAACAAATCGAGGACGAAAACTTCTTCTCCCTGAACACCAGTGTTGATGTGATGTTCACTTATCACATCGTTCCAGTACATGTGCTGATGGGGGCGCCACCAAGATCCCTGTGTAAATGAAAAATATAAGCTCAAAAGTACCAAAGTTTGCGACATGTTTCAGCCAAGCAATGATTAATTCTCTATTGAACTGCTATATATATATATATATATATATATACAAGGTTTCATTTTCTAATCAGCGTGACCTCTTCGGTTATTTATATATACATGTATATAGATTCCGGTACAAAGATTTCGTTATGCGAATTAACATATTGCTTGAAGTCTAGCTTGATCTGAGGAGTACGATCTCTGTGGGAAGAACAATTGTTCCTATAATCAGTGCCGTGTTGTTGTGATTGAGTGGTAGTTTGCACTGCCCTCAATCTTATAACTTTAACATGCTAGAAATACTGCTGTCGAATACGATAACTATCACATGTTTTGGTATCTGTGACATCAACATTGTCAAACATCTTAATGGACATCTGAACCTGATGCAGAAAATTCAACAAATATTCTGAGAAAAGTCGAAGGGACGATTTATAAGGGTATGGATATGAGGTCCTTCAATTCTATATTCTTTATATTTTACGCCATTTTTTATAAAAATAAGTAGATGTGGTATGATTGCCAATGAGACAACTCTCCACAAGAGACCAAAAGACATAGAAATTAAAAACTATAGGTCACCGTACAGCCTTCAACAATGAGTAAAACTTATACCGCCTAGTCAGCTATAAAAGGCCCCGAAATGACAACTGTAAAACAATTCAAACGAGAAAACTAACGGCCTGATTTATGTACAAAATAATGAACGAAAAACAAATATGATATACAGCAACAATCGACAACCACTGAATTACAGGCTCCTGACTTGGGAAAGGCACATACAGAATGTGGCAGGGTTAAACTAGTTTGAAGGCGTGCCAACCCTCCCCTAACCTAGGACAGTTCTCTATTTGTTATAAATTGTGTCCATTATTCTTTATATTTTAGCAACTCATTATTCTCTATTCTTTATTTTGTGGCTTATTATCTCTATACTTTACTTATTTCGCCCTTTTTTCTATAGTATTGTCTCATTATTTAATTTTGTAAACCCCATCCAGACTTTTGAATTTGACTTGAATAAGTCTGTCAAAACTGCTATGATATTTGTTAAATACATTTTTTACGAACTGCATACTAAAGTAAATCAATACATTTTAGTGACAGCGAAACCTGCCAAAGTAAACTGCCCCTGGGGCTTTTTATGGGTGGTATTTAATAATGCGCCCTTATCCAAAGGTTTGCTAGCCAACTATGTTCGTAGATACAATACGGAGTTGGAACAAACAAAGAGAACAAATAAGACAATAAAATATAAGTTGAATCTCTTATACCTAAGATAGCACATCCATTGCGACAAAGACTTTCAACTACGAACTGGTGTTTTCAACACACCAATACGGGTGCCTATAAAATGCGAAACGAAAGGAAAAGAACCAAAACAAAAAGAAAACAAACAAAACGAAAAGAAAAGAAACGGTAATAGCGTAATCAAAGAGCTTGGGAGCTATGAGGGAAAAGACAGCCATTGTTTCTATGTTTTGGAGTATCAATATTTAGAGAGAGAAAAATGCAAGAACAGTTAAGCTAGCCACTGTGAAATATTTTGAATTTCAATATGGTGGAAAGGTCAGATTATTAAAAGTCTTTGTGAAGGCAATTTTATTTAAACTAACAAATAACTAACTTAATAAAATGCAACTGAAATGATAACAAGAATGCACATGCTGAAATGTCTCGCCTGCATTAATTGAAGTTCATACCATACACCAAATAAAGTTGGCCTATTGCATATACTAAGATATTGTAAGCCAAAGGGCCAGAGAAACAGACTTGATTGCCAAAATTGAACATTGACTAAATAAATGAACCATGAAAATGAGGTCAAGGTCTGATGAACCTTACCAGACAGACATGTACACCTTACAATCATTCCTTACAACAAATATAGTTGACAAATGGCTAACAGTATTTGATAAATGGACAAAACCATGAAAACTTGCCAGACAGACATGTCTTCTTAACAATCATTCCATGATATATACCAAATATAGTGGCCCTATGGCTTATACTAGTATCATAAATAGAGCCCAAATAGGAAAATCTTAAAAGATTGTCCGATGAATCCAAAAAAAAGGTCAAGGTCAGTTGAAACAAGTCAGACGGACATAAACACCTTGCATTCATTCGATACACCAAATACAGCTAATCTTTTGCTTATAGTATCTGAGAATTGACAAATGAACCATGAAAATGAGGCTAAGTTCAGATTAAACCTGCCAGTCGATCATGTACAATGTACACCTTTCAGTCATTCCGCACACCAAATATAGTTGACCTATTGCTTATAGTATCTGAGATACGGACTTGACCACGACCATGTCTGACGGATATATGTAGACCTTGCAAGCATCCAATATACCAAATAAAGTTACCCTATAACTCATAATAAGGGAGTATTTCACAGCGACAAAACAACTAAAACAAGCATTTTGAGAGTATTGCATGGCAATACATTGTACATAGTCCCCTACCAGTTAAAAATTCATTACACTAGAACAACAAACTTGATCTATTAATTGTCCTGGTGTTAACATGGTCAAACTATATAATGAATATCAAATCAAAATCTTCAAGCTGGACGAAAAATAGTGTGGAAAACTGATTACTAGTATTTGCGTGAATTTTCTAAGACCGAGCACCATAACGCTGCATAAAATCAGCCGAACCGAACAAAATTCAAACTTGATCTGTAACTTGTCACTGTAAAACTATAGTCTACTACCTTCTGAAATATAAAGCTTTATAAACAAATAGTTTATGCTGTCGCTGTCCCTGGATTGTAATCCCTATGCGACTTTCGGCATATGCAGTCTCTACAATAGATTTTTGAATCTAAAGGCCCGATGCTGAATTTTAAAAAAAATTTAGGTAGATTATATCGGCCTGTAGAGATGATTTTTAAAGGCCAGACAGAAGTTTTGCAAGCCATGATCCATGTAAATGAGGTCAGGGTCAAATGAACATGTCAAATTGCCGTGTGCATTTGAAATCATTCACTATACACTAGATAGTTGACCTACTGCTAAAAGAATCTAAGAAACGGATCTGACACCAAAATATTAACATTGACAAATGAACCATGCAAATAAGGACAAGGTCAGACGAAACCAGAAAAACATAATATTGACCAAAGAGCCATGAAAGGAGATCAAGGTCAACTCAAGGTAGACTCAACTCTAACAATACCAAATGGTCAATTTAAATGTCCCAATTGTATTGTCAATTTTACAATCTGGTTGAACAATAGGTAAAGGTAAACAGCAACACCTATAGTCAAGTCAAAGTAATACGATATTCCAGAGCTTGCATTTCCTATCATGATTTCCTTGATAGAGGGTTGCTGCTTACAAGGAAGCTATAATGAACCAAGAGTTTCAAGTGGTGAAGTTAAAATCATCCCTTTGAAACTTTATGGAGTCCATAACAATTTTGTTGACCGTTCTGGAATATCTGTTTCACAGATGTCGGTTATGTTCCAATTTTTGTGACCACAGTCCTGTTCCCTTCTCTCCAAATGTGACCTACCGAATTCGACTTATCACCGGGTTTATACTTACATGAGTAACACGACAGGTGCCACAAGGAGCAGGATGTGTTTACCCTTCCGGAGCACCTGAGATCACCCTGGTTTTTGTGGGGTTCGTGTTGCTCAGTCTTTAGTTTTCTGTGTTGTGTTTTATGTATTGTTGTTTGTCTTTTTGTTAGTTTATTTTCGACTTATGCGTTTGAATGTCCCTTTGGTATCTCGGCAATATCTCTGAAAGAATTGACAGCCTCTGGAACACCAGTGTCAGCCATCGCCTTTAATGTTGTAAAGTTCAAAGAAAAATCATAATCAGTGGTAAGACATCATAAAATGGCAAATTTGTAGATACTGCTTGTCTAAGACATTGGCAAAGAGGCAAGTATGGAAAATTTAACCTGTATTGGTTTCACTTACAGGGTCAAAATTGAGAAAAAAATTAAACCTAGAGAATTTGATTAGTCTTGATAACATACTTTGACAATTTTTAACAATCACAGATATCCATAAAAAATTAAAAAAAATATTATTCAGTTCTTAACATTGCTGTTGAAGACAATTTTGATACAATATTGCAAATGTTTACATGTTTTTTTTTAATTTTATCAAAGTAAATTAAGAACCAAATTGCATTACTTCATATCTTAAGAACGATTCATACATTTCCAATAGAATGTGGGTTTTGATTTTGAAAGTCTTTCTATGAGTTATTAAATTTATAAACAAAATCTCTGAATTGGTAGTTTTGAACCATCTTTAAGTGCGTACTATTTAAATAATTATTAAGAAATACAACTTAATATTGTTAAGAATGAGATCCAAAATGAACTTGATCCAAAGGGTTAATTGCAAAGTAGAAATATGTGTATCAGAACTTTTCTCGTTTGACAATAAAACTTAAAAAAAAAAATGCCCTTCCCAACATACCCATTTCTTTCAGAGGTAGTTTAAATTTCAAGCCCTTTGCTGTTAGATTTACTGCTGTTATCTGTCCTCCTTTAACTTTTAACTTTGCCTGCCCCCTCTGCATATTCTGTAGAATGTATTCTTCTGATGTTTCAGTCTCGTTTAAATCTCGTTCGGGAAATATTTCCAAACATGTGATACAAGTGGAGAATATCAATGAATTTAAAAAATATTTCAAATAACTACTACATTTTTCAGTCATTGCAATAAGTACTGGTTTTAAAGGGAAATAACCTTTTATGTAGCGTTTATAGTGGTCGATATCTAAACGATTGTATAAACTATAATAAATAATTGCTTTTTTTGTCTGAAGCTATTAACAAAGTACACTACAACGTTGCATTTAGGACTGGAAATGCAATGACTATATATCATGACTGATTTAAATTAAACAGGTTATACTCTAAATGTTTTACCTTTAAAAACTGAAAAGCTTCTTCCAACAAACAAATTGACTTCTACATTGACATGTGAACATTGATTTATGTAATCCATCGCACTTCAGCAAAGC